AAACGATGGAAGTGACCTCACAATACAGTTCTCACAAATAATGATACATGGTACAAAAACTGACCAGTGTGCAGGGTTTTTCTATAACCCCACCCCCTAGCGTGGGACCCATGCCTTTAACAGGGTTATTCACAAAAGGGTGAAGAGTTTGGAGAAGGCAGGAGAAGTGAACAATCTAGGACAACACACCCTTATGTGAATAACCCTATTAGTCTCCATGCTTCTGCATCTTCATGTGGTTTTAGCGTGTTTTTGTTGAGCATTTCTTATGCATTTTTATTAATTTTGCATTTTCGTTTTAACCAATGAAGGTGAAATAAAGTATAGGTTGCTAAGGGGTAGGTTGTCACGGGTGCGAACGGGGACTAGAGCTGCACATGGGAGCTGCACATGGGAACTGCACATGAGAGCTGCACATGAGAGCTTTAGTAGCTCAATCATGCTAATAGAATTTCTGATGATTAATCAAAAGGCATAACAATGGATCAGAAATGGAAGAATTGGCTCGCTATGGAGCAAGATACATGACTAGCGGAACAAGATATTTTTCCTACCTGAGTTAAGGCTGACAGAGGTGCTGCCTACTAAAGCACAGAACAGTGGTGACCTTCATTATCTACATCTATTTTCACCAAGGTCACCCGACTTTCCAAACTAAGTCCCATTCACACGAGCTTTAGGCTGCATCTGGGGATTGCTGTGGCAGGAACCTGTGGATTTTTAGGGCAGCAATCCCACGTGTGTCCCTACAGATGCAGACGCTGTGCTCTTTTAAGTTAATGACAGGGTGACAGCGGTCGGATCTGTCAGCAGTAGGCTTCATGTGATCGTACATGGGACAATTACTTGCAGTTCAGGATAGACAATTGTCCCTGGATGCACACAGTCTAGTTTGTATGCAGCAATAGCACAGAGTCCTGCTGCGACCAGATGCGCAGTTTAGCCACCTCCAGCCGCCCGTCTGAATAAGTCTTTCATCCGACGTTCTTTTTCCAATATGGGGAACATGTCCCTTTCCTCCCACTTGACAACGGTGCTGTTTGGTGATTGGATGTCCAGACACTAAAGCTGGTCAAACACCAATACAATGTTGTTTGGAAAATATTAGTTTTTGGAACGTTCGATTTTGTAATGGGGTCAAATCATCAATCAATTTCGAACACAGTGATTCATTTTTTTTGTTTTTGAAGGAACAAATTCTAACAATGAACGTGGTTTCCATTCGAAAAACTCCAATTATTTCCAAATTACAATCAAAGGAAATTCTGAACGACATTCGGCAAATTTCCAATGGCGTGATTGATTTTTCATTTGATTATTCGTACACAAATCTACCCGTCTATGGAGACCTTCTTTTTTTCACTCCTGTGGTGAAAGAATGATGGGAAGGGAAGTGTAAGCAGTTTGGGAGAGGACATTTAAGTGAACCTGTTGCTTTAAGCCAGGGGTGGGCAGCCCCAGCCCTCCAGCTGTGCTTTAACTACAAATCCCAAAATGCCTCTGCCTCTGGAAGTTATGCCTATGGTTGTCAGTTATAGTTTGTAGTTCCACAACAGCTGGAGGGCCGCAGTTGCCTTGCTTTAAGGCAAAGTACAGGTTGACTTTAACTGTCATGGTTGTGTATCAGACACGCAATGTCTGACTGACTCATACTGGCACATTTGGTCTTCTTTACCCTCTGCAGGTATGGCTCATAGTGAAACCGCCGTGCCTCTACCAACGGTCTCTATTTCACTCACCGCAGATGTGACAACACCTCATAGACGGTCGGCTACTGGGGAACTTTGCTTTATTCCCGCACACTCAGCGGGGAGCGGAAAGATTTCTTTGAAAAATAAATCAGTTAAAATATGATGTGTAAATCAGGAGGTATACAGTAATAAGTGCAGATCATAGAAACCAGTAATAATGGAAGCAGTCACAAACCATGTATGGATGTAGTGGGTATAAATAGCCAGCAATTATACAAACCGTATATAGGCCTAAAGTGACCATGTTATAGATAACAATGATTACATGTGAACTAATGGCATAAAAACACAACACAGCACTTAATAATCATCAAAGTGTATGTGAAGCCAAAATGTTATTTTTTTAAGTTGTATATACAGGTGAAACTCGAATAATTAGAATATCGTGCAAAGTTCATTTATTTGACTAATGCAACTTAAAAGGTGAAACTAATATATGAGATAGACTCATTACATGCAAAGCAAGATAATTCAAGCCGTGATTTGTCATAATTGTGATGATTATGGCTTACAGCTCATGAAAATCCCAAGAACCCCAAATCCACAACCTCAAAAAAGTAGATTATTACATGCAATCAATAAAACAAGGATTGTACATAGAACAATATCGGACCTCTGAAAAGTACAAGCATGCATATGTACTCAGTACTTGGTTTGGGCCCCTTTTGCAGCAATTACTGCAATTACTTTTGCACGATATTCTAATTATTCGAGTTTCACCTGTAGAATGTGGAAGGGTTAGAAGAACCCTTGTTTTTATTGCTGTCTGTGTCCCCGTCAGGGAGATTAAACGTTGCAATGACCGTTGTCACCAAGAAAGAAAGTGATAGGAACATTTTAGAGTCACAGGAACAGGAAGCAAAGGGAAATTTTCCAATGACAACTAAGAGGGGAATATATGTCACCTTGCAGAGTTTTCCTCTAACTTCCTGTTTCATCTCTGGGGCAGAAAGTGAAGGGAAATCTCTTCATCAAGTCACAGACAACAACAATAAAACTGAACGGACAAAATACTGTAGTTTTGGCATTACATTCACTTTAAATATATTTTTACTAACCCTAATTTATCTTAATAAAAGCCTGCCGTAATCCACTGCCAAGATTAAGAAGAGAGGAAATCAACACTTAGACCAATCACAACTCTACTGCTTTGCACGATGATGTCAGTCTATCAATGTGAACAAGCTAACAGAAAGAGCCAAGGCTCTGCATTATAGGTTACTATGGCATGTTACAAAAACACTTGTAGGTTTGTTCCAAGAAGCACAAAAATACATATATACAAAGGCAGCAATGTGTGTTTATTACATATGCAGATTCTGCTTCCTTCTTAGTAGTGCTGCATAGTGAGTGCATTACCGTGCCTCATATGTCAGTGCATGTTTACCATTAGACTGTCTTGTTTCATGGCAGCCTTTAAATGAGATTGTGGAAAGGTAAGTGTGATGAACACAGTTGTGGTAAACAAAGAGAGGTCACATTCCTTCCATGTGAAAGAGAAATAACAATAAAAAAAAGGAACAAAATATAATCAAAAAGGGGCAGACTTGATGAACGATTTGGCCTTTTCTGCCGTCACTCTGCTATGTTTCTTTGAGAGGCTGAATGGAACCAAGTTGGACACAGACGGCAATAAAGACCTCCACAGGAGAGAAGAACAGAGCTCCACACCAACTGTTGAGAGTTTATGTCAAAACCACAAATCCTTTATTTAAAATAATCACAAATTCATTGGCATCAAATATTTTTATTTGGATTTGTTATTTTGATGCACAATCAAGCCTGTGACATGATAAGCGAAGCAGCGCAGAGCAGTGGTGCGAGGTCCTTCACGTGCAGTGTGTCATGTTATTTTCACTCCAGTGCGTCAACCTGCAAGAGTTCGCATAGCTGAGCATGCCGAGATGAAAAATTGAAACTTCAGCCAATCAGCCCGTGCATCAGGATGCGAAGTTGTTACGCGCGAGCTGATTGGCTGAAGATGCAGTCTTTCATCTGGCTGTGCTCAGCTCACACACTGCATGCGAACGTCTGTCCCTTACAGCTTTGCTTGCAGTGTGTCACGGGCTTCGTATTTTCATTCTGATTTTAAAATCCAACCTCTCCTAGCCCTGATGAAGAGGGTATTTGTGAGTCCCACCCCCCGGAATGGTTTGGCTTATACTACCCATGTGCAGCGGCTAAAAATGTGTTTTGTTTAGTTTCGGATTTTGTTTTTGGAATTCGGATCCTATATGTGTTTCGTTTCGGGAATCGGATTCGTATTTGGATCTGATTCGGAATTTGTGTTGGATTCGGAATTCGGATTGTACTGGGCACATTTGTCATTTCTGGTTGCTGTCTTTACTAGGGATGCACTGATACCAATACTAGTATCGATATCAGTGCCGATTCCGAGTATTTGGGCAAGTACTCGTACAAATACGAAATTTAGGAATAAAAATTTCGGATTCGGATGCTTTCGGATGATTTCGGATATATTCGGATGCCTCGAATCTACGAATTTCTGAAATTTCCTCCGAATTCTGATTCGGAACGAAACGAATCGCACATGTCTAGCTTATACCATAGAAAGAAATATTTTGTTTGGACTCTCAACAATTTGTTCTGGTGCTCCATTGTTCTTTCCTGTGGGCAGATTCAGCACCTCCCATTTACAAGTTAATGGTTGATTAGACAGGAAGCACTTAGGCAGAAGGGACTAAAAATAAGGCATTAGCAATTAGATGATGACTTCATTACTGAAATAAACTCAAGGTGGCGGGCTGCTATGAACGGTGCCTTCACTTTTCTAGGTCGTCATTTATGTTGTTTTCTGTTGGTGAGCTGTGCAAACATTGAAGGTGATCACCCTCCCCTTAAAGTAGAACTAAAGACAACATTTTCTTTAGTCTTGGATAAAGTAGGAGAAGAATTAGAACACCTGTCAAGTTTATTTTTCTGTCCGTGTCCCTGTTAGAGAAATTCATCCTCTCTATTTGTCTTGGTGACCGTTATCACGCAAAGTGAAAGTAGAAAAAAATACCAAATTCTGAGTTGTCAACAGAACAGGAACAGAGGGAAAGTGGGAACACCTGTTCTGGTGAAAAGAGGGATTTCCTCTAAATTCCTGTTGTGACTATGGCACAGGAAATGAAGGGAAATCTCCCCAATAGGGGTTGCACACAGACTGCAAAAAAACTGACAGGGGTTTATAACCCACCCGTACGCTATCCAAAATAAAAATAAATAAAAAGTTTTGTCTTTAGTTGCACGTTAACTGTTGCCCATAAACCAGCCTTGCAAATCGGAATAGACTTTGTCCTTGGGCAGATGAGGGTATCTGGAACAGATCATACAAAATCTCTCCCTCCAATCATTGTAAATCTTTACCCCATACATTTGCCGCCAGTGGAAGTATTGTTCATAACGCTTTAGGGTCATGGAACCTAAAAATGTAGCTAGATCCTTGGTTGATGAAAAGTCTGAGACGTGAATAAATGAGTCTGCGGGTATGAACTTCTCATAATTTTCACGCGGTGGGCCAAGCACTATAGGAACCGCCCCAGCTATGAATGAGTTTTTCCAAAGTTTCTCAGTGATGTAGTCTTTATGGATGGAATTCTCCAAGGCGAGGTAGAAGTAGTAACGGGATATAGTGGGAAGAAGGCACAGCGAACATAGAGGCTTGTTACTGGCTTTTCCGTACACATCCACTGTGAGGTAGCGTGAAAAATTCTTGAAGAATGATGCTCGGTCTTGAGTTTGGTGATAGTTACTAACAGCCCAGGTCAGCAGGCCCGTCTTGTAAGAGGTATTAAATTCCATGTGCAAATTGGGAACCAAATGCCCGTAAGGTACGAAGATATCTGAATCTTCTCGGTAAGTCAATGTCCAGTTGAATGTGTTGTTCCATTTGCCAATGTTCTTGGTGTTGGATGGAGACTCTAGAGTGGCCCACACCCACATTTGTCCAGGGATCCTAGATATATGCATATGATAGCCTTTCTCATTTAATTCCCTATGATGAAAGACCACCACATCACTATGGTTCAGCATGTCCCTATTATCTGTCAGTCTGCAGTTCTTTATGTTATAGAGGTCCAAACAAACATCTCCTGAGATGTTCAGTTGATGGTGGAAAGGCCAGTGCCAAATCAGTACCGTGATGGTCATGTCATGTGAGGTAGTCATGGCTTGTTTAGAACTGAAATTAAAAACTAAAGATTGTATATTCCATCCTAGACTTAACAGCACAAAGATGCTGGCCAGAACCATCCAATGTCGTAGCCTGTGCTTTGTGGGTATTGGTAGCACCATTATGATGTTGCTGTGGGGAGAGACAAGATGTTTATTAGACAACTCAGTACAGTGACTGACCTGGTTAATATTCTGACTGCCCACATAAAATGACCTTATCTGCAGGCTTTTTCTGAGTCAAAAACTATTAAAGACACCGGATCATCATGGTGGCCAGTGACTAGCAAGAAAGTCACCTCACTGGAACAAGTATGTTGACCTGAAGTTCTGAGTACATGTTGCAGGCCAGTAACTCAGAAAGTATTGAAACCAGAGGGTCAGCATGTGGACGGATTTGGAAGGGCTGGAACCACTTGCAGGTTTTTATTGCTGTGTCACATTGAGGACAATCACACTCACTTTGCTTGTGACCTTTGGCACCAGGGGGGAAAGTAAAGGGAAATCTAACATTTTACACTTGTCACTGGAACAAAAGTAAAGAGAAAATCTGCCAACAAGGATACCTATTGCCATAACAGCTTTCTCAAATTTTTCTAAATTTTGGGGGGGCGGGAGGGATTTCCTCTCACTTCCTGTTGGGTCTCCAGAACAAAAAGGGAGAAAGAACAGAGAACCTATAAAAACCTGAAAGTTGATCTGCCTCTATCCCTCTATACAAGGGATGGGGATCCACTTTAAGCCTAACCTTCAAGTGAATCATAACATGTAACCTAACCTGTAAAGCACCAAATTTCTTTATTTTCTAGTTTTGTAGAGAGTGGAGGAGGGGTTAAAACGTCTGTACGATTTTCATTGCTATCTGTGTCTACTGAGATTTAATCTTACTTCCTGTCCACAAGGTCTTACAAGTACCTTAGGCAATGGGATATCTCTCTCAAGGGGAGAGAGAAACAGAAAAAAATAATTTTTAGGACATTTGTATAGTTTTTGTTGCTCTTCTAGTTTTCCTGTCCTCGTGACACCACGTCCTCTCATTTCTGTTACTGGTGTCACTGGGACAAAAAGTGAGGAATAATCTCCACAGTGAGGACACTGAAAGCAATAAAAACTTGACACAAGTTCTGATTTTTAATCACTATTGAAAAGTAAAATGAAAATTTGAGTCACAAAAGGTGAGGCACCTGAGTCCACCGATCCTGAAAATATTCCTTCTGGTTGGACTGGCTATCGAAATAACAATTATGAATATATCAAAAACTGACTGGTGCTGATTTTGAAAATGCAGCAAAATGTTTGGGGAATGAAAGTGACTCTCGTGTGCTGAGGTGGTAAATATTTGTAGCACAAAAGAATCCCAATCATTGAATGTCAGAAGATGCATGCAGATTGTTTCATCACTCGTGCAATAGGATCAAAAAGAGCGAGCAGTGATTTCCAGCTGATTCAGAAACACATGTCTTGCCCAATTGCTGTATGGAAACATGTTCCTGTTCACATATCATATCTTAAAACAAAATATTCTAAAATTGCTCCTTTTTTTTTGCTTCTCTCCTCTGTAATGTTAAGGGGGGGGGGGGGGGGGGG